GATGGAATGGCCCCATTGAAAAAGATAAGTAATATGGGTAGGATCATAATGATGGCACGACCCTAATGAAAAGGAGAAACTATATAGGTAGGATTTGAATGATGGCACAATCCTACACAAATCAAATTTGAGGAGTCACCGAAAAGACAAATGGAACTACGCAAATTAAATTTGAGGAGTCACTGAAAAGACACGCGGTGTTATGTAACTCAGATATGAGAAAGTATCTCGGAAAAAGACCCAGAATACTATGCAAATTAAATATGAAAAGTAGTCCAAGGAGATGCAAGGTGCTAGGCAGATAAGATATGCAAAAAAAAGGTAGTCACCAGAAGGATTTCATGGTGCTACACAAATTAAATATAAAAAAGTAGTCACCAGAATAATAGGATAGTGCTACGCAAATTAAATATGAAAAAGTAGTCACCGGAATGATGGCACGATGCTACACAAATTAAAAAGTAGTCAACCGGAATGATGGCATGGTGCTACAAAAATTAGATATAAGAAAGTAGTCACCAGAAAGATACACGGTGGCCCAACTTTTGCTAACATAATCATTGGCGGACGGGCGATATATATGAGTAATAGCCGCTCACCGGCAGCGGAAGCTCTTTGATTTTCTACCAAGAGCGTAGATGCTTTGATACCATGTTAAATTAGGTCTTAGGCCTAACTCACACCTCTAATACCATGTGAGAAATATAAAAAAAGAATATTATTGAATTGTTGTTGTTGTCTACATTATTACATTGAGACCCTATTTATAGACACCAGAATACAATCCTTACCAAGTAGGATGATACTATTTACTATTCCTCTTTCTATTTCTATTCCTGTTCTATTCTAAATAGGATAGTATAAATCTATTCCTAATCTACTAGGATTGTATAAACCTATTCATATTCTACCAGAGAAAAAGGGTTATAACTTAGTCAACGGGAAGAATGTTCTTCTTAGCAAAGAAAGAGGGGGTTTAGGGATCAGAAATTTGAGGCTGCAAAATGAAAGTCTTTAGACGAAATGGTTATGGAGATACACTCAGGAAGATGCAGCTCTCTGGAAGGAGGTTACTGTAGCAAAATATAAAGAACTTAATCCGTGGTGTACAAAAATCACCTCCGAACCATATGGGGTCGGGGTATGAAGACAATCAGGAACCTATGGCCACAAATGGAAGGAAATATGTATATTAAGGTGGGTAATGGAAACAAAACTAAATTTTGGAAAGATGGTTGGATAGACCAAACCTCTCTCAAAGAACTTTTTCCAGATTTGTTCCTAATCTGTGAGAGCCCTGATGCTAGAGTGAGCGATTGTTGGACAGAACAGGGATGTGACTTATCCTTAACAAGACTACGAAGACTAATTAATGACTGGGAGGAGGAGAGGGTGGCAACGCTACTAGAAAAACTAGCTGGAATGAATATAACTACAACAACAGACAAGATCTTGTGGAAACATAGGAAGGATGGTGTCTTCTCAGTCAACAATGCCTACGAAAGAGGGCTAATGGGGATGACAGGGGTCCAAAAGTATAATTAGAACTACTTTTGGAAGAGTGACTTCCTACAAAAATAAAGTGTTTCACCTGGTTAGTGATAAAGAGAGCATGTTTAACAGAAGAAGTTCTACAAAAGCAAGCAGACAATTGGTTCCTAGGTGTTTTTTGTGCAACTTGACAGGGAAAACAAATAACCATCTCTTCCAGCATTGCAAGCATTGCAAGTTTTCTGTTCAAATTAGGAACTTGTTTCTCAACGTCACAAGCATGTTGAGAAATGCCAGAACATACATCAGATTTGTTTAGCTGTTTGATTAGGAGGGGAGGCAGTAAGAGTCAAAAGAGATGGTGGAAGCTAATACCATCATGTGTATGGTGGTCAGTCTGGAAAGAAAGAAATGGAAGATGTTTGAAGATAGATCCAATTCCATCCACAAAGTTAAATGGAATTGTATAGTATCTCTACTTTTTTGGTGTAAATAGCTTTGTATAGATGATATAGACAAGATTATAGATTTGATAGGAAATCTGTAATTATTCCTTTTTGGAGGTAGCCAGCATACCCTTAATGTTGAAGAATTCAACCTTACCAGTTTAAAAACAAACATTTTTCATGAGTGTAACTCTACCACCCAAAGACGAATGCTAGCTCTTCTAGCTCATTAGCTTCATATCACATTTTTCCTGTACATTGTTCCTGTTCGAAATACCTTATGACCTTACATACCAAGATAAACTGTGGGAAGCTGTGCTACTCCCCCCACCCACTCACCCACCCACCCACACACAAGTATAGTGGCTAAATTAGCAATCCCAGGCACCTCATTAACTGGGTAACATGAGGGCTTGAAATGGCTTCATCAAATAAATAAGAATGACTCTTAAGTACTTCAGTTGAGAGTTAGTCTGCATCACAAAAGATCAAAGTGTCATCAACATATTTGAAGTGAGATATGGCTAGGCTCTGTCTATCATCCATATTTGCATTGAAACCCCGTATCCAACCATTTGGTTGGTGCTGTCCTAAGCATGTCATTGAGTCCCTCCATTGCTAAAATAAATAGAGAAGGGAAAAAAAAATTAAAAAAAATAGAGAAGGGGACAAAGGTCTCAGTCTTCTTTTAGTAGAGAAGAAACCAACAGGGGATCCATTTATCAGAACAGAGAACTTCTCAGTTGTAGTGCATAACTTAATTCATTAGTCACCAGAGCCCATACAATCCCATGGTCTTCCTGTGGAAGCCCCAGTGTAAATGATCACAAGTCTTTCAGTATCCAACTTGCATAAGATGTTTGGCACCTTTCTGATCTTCCTCACATCCACACACTCATTTGCAATCAATATAACATCTATAATCTGCCTGCCTTTATAAATGTCATCTGTTGAGCATACACGAGTTTAGCGACTACCTTTTTGAGCCTTTCTGTCTACATCTTTGAGATGATGTTGTATATACTACCTATTAAGCTAATTGTTAAGAAGTCCTTCATTGCCCCCTTGTTCTTTGGAATCAAGCTATGAAGGTAGCATTGGAACTTCTTTCAAAAATGCCCTGATCATGAAAATTTTGTACCAACTTCTATACCGACTACATCCTAGCATGTGATAAAGAAAGCCATAGTGAAACCATCATGGCTAGGTGCTTTGTCCCTAGCACATGCCATAATACAGTCTTTGATTTTATTTTCACTGAACTATCTCTGTGGCATTATATTATCAGCTCCACTGTCCCTGTTCTAGATTGAACTGAGGTCTCTATCTCTATGTCTCTAAGCAACCTACAACTGTTACCTGTTAATTAACGTGGATATCCGTATGGATCAGAAGATAACTGCATACCATTTTCTCAGTAGGATTATTTTCTTCTCAATTTACGAATTCGGCCTTGTTATTTGCAAGTCGGATTCTACCAGAGGGGTGAAGTTGGGTTATGACATTCAGAAGTGATTATGGCAGAGAAATTCAAGGTTGTTGTGGCTATTTGGTATACTCAACGAATTTCATTAGTCTGAGAAGAAGATGATTTTCAGTCTCGGATGTGAAGGCTCATGCTTCCATTTTTGTTCTAGGTTTTGCTTATTTTCCGGTGCTCTCAGTTATTTCTTGTTCCCAGAGCTTGAGGCACTGTGGTGCAACTCTTCCTGATCTTGGTTTCCATAAAAAAGTTAGTAACTTAGTCTTCACAATTACTCCACTTTACTGAATGCAGATAGTATGGGAAGACATCTATGGTATGTGGAGAATGAAGTCAGCCTGATTCTTAAGAACCTTACTTTAAACAGAAAAAGCTTGCTTTCTGGGGACGCAAAATAAGATGGGAAAAAGGCTGAAATAGGAACAAGTGATAATGTAGCAAACAGATCTTGGAACAAGTGATTTCTTATGTGTTGATTTTTGTTAAGATTTGAGTCACTTTTGTGTTCACTCGCTCTTTCTGTGTTATGCTTTCTTCTTGATTTGTATATCTACAGAGTCAGATTTATTTCGTTGTCTTTATTTATACTTATAGAGCTTAAGCCCCCTCCTCTCTAGTCAACAAAGATTCTTTTTCTTTCAAAACCTTTATGTTTACTTGTAGAGCTTAAGCCCCTCCTCTCTAGTCTATGAAGATTCTTATTCTTTCAAAACCTTTCTCTTAAACTATAGCTATCAGAGATAACACAAGATGAATTGTATAATTTCTTTCTACTTTTGATGTAAAGAAGTAGGTTTAAAGGATATAGATCAATTTGTAGATCTATTAAGATCCCTGTAAGTATCTTCTTTTCTTTTTTTTTATCCAACACTTTCTGATGGTGTCCAGCATTAAGATACACATTTACCAGTTTCAATAAAGAGAAGTAGTAATGACAGAATATGAATTCAGGACTATATTGTAAGGATAATATAAATTTTTTCTTGAATATATATTGCTATAGGACTCCATAAAACATTGCCTGTTAGCTCTCCGATAAGGCATAAGACATAAAAAAGACACTCAAACTTGGCCTCAACTAACAAGTAAATATTCCAGCTTTGAGTATGCACATATAAGCACCTCAAATTGTCTCCCCTGTATCAGTTGAACATTCCAATTTACAAGATGAGCATCTAGATATCTCCAAACTTTATGTGCCAAGCCAGTGTCAGGTGTCCACGAAACATAGTGGGATGAGTTGGGATGTTTAGTTGCCAATTGAGACCAAGTTGAGGTGTCTAGAGGTACACTCTCAAAGTTAAAGTGCTTACTTGTTAGCTGAGGCCAAGTTTGAGTGTCTGTTCATGCATTATGCCTTTTGATAAACTTCTTTTTGCAAATTACTAAGTTTTAATTTTTAACTCATGATTTCTTGGTTTGGGTTTCAGAGCTCCACATTAGTTTCTGATACCATGAAGGAAAATGTAATAGCTTGGCTATTGAGTAATACGAAATCTAATTTTTGATGCATCTTGTTGGCTGAATTGGTTCATTGGAGGATGTACAACAGTCCTGATATGTTTCTCCTTTCTGTGTAGAACACAATGATAGATGAGCGTGGTTCCTTTGCTGTGACCAGTCCCTTCCCAGGTCCACTGCCAAGTTTTCTCAAGTCTATCAAGAAAGTGGGTATAGAACCGTTTGCTTCCTACATCTTGTGTCCTGATAGCTTTAACCTTAATCATTCAATACATTATTTTTCTTATGTAGCAATTAGTGAGCTGTCAATCTGAAGTGGTTGTCGTGTTGTATATCACTTCCTTGTTTCCATTTATTTTGTTTCTTGAGGAACTCTTCACACAGTGCATTCTTCTATCTGGTGGATGTTTAGCTATATGTACAAACTGACATAGCATAATGCAGTTACCAGCTCGGGTTGCTTTGATGGGTGAAGTTCTGCCTCTTAAAAATGAAAAGGTGTGTTTTATAGGTCTCCTTCCTGGCAAATGAATTCACTTTATTTTAACCTCTAATATTGCTCGTCCGAATATTCAATTTATCTGTGCTATCTTTTGCTTTTATGAGAAACTTTGAATCAACATATCTATGTTCTTGATAGCGCCAGTTGGTGATGTTAGGCTCCCAGCTATTCATTGTAGTGAAACTGCGTGTTAGACTAGGGAAGGATGGCCTTTCCGGGAGGGGGTTGGTTTGTGGAAGGCTTTCACTGACTGGAATTGTGGCTAACCTTTTCCGGATGTGAACTTGAGGCTGCTCGGACATGCATAACTTTAAGTTACTCATCCCCATAGGTATTTGTCTAGGAAAGAACTATCATACTTCTGCATGAATTGAGGAGATATTAGAAGTATGAAACAGGGAGATACACTGAATGCTTGAAAGTTGAGTTCATCAAAAGGTACAAAATAGATAAAATGCCTGAGTAAAATAACAGAAGGCAGAATGTTAATAATGCCTAAAGGTAGATACGGAGACATTCTTCAGCTTATTTGTATAGAGAAAACAAGATAGGTTGAAATTGACCATCCATTGAATTAGAAAGGAGGAAGGCTCGGCAAATTCCAAAGGAAGCTGTGAATTATTGTTAACTTTTGCTAACCCTCTGCATACATTTATGGACTGCAAGTGAATGTACTACAAGTGATTTATGCCGTTTCATAGTTATATTTCTGCTTTTTTATTTACTTGTTGGGTTACACCAGCAGTTGTGTAGGGCTGATTGACTAACTGAGGAGCTGAGTTGATATGGTTGTAGCTTGGTAATGCCCATTAGTGGTCATACCACTAAATTGTCTAGCTAAGTGACCTTGTGCTGGAAAGAGAGTTGTTCGTTTCACTAATGGACCTTCTCATGCCAGCATGAAGAAGTGATTTCCAAAATGTTTCTTCTTGCTTTATGACAGGCTAGGTTGCCTGGAGAGAGCCTTAAGGAAGTCATATCATCTGAAAGGAGCATGATAGAGAAGTACTCTTACTCCGTTTTGGGTATACTGAGTTCATCCAGCCTTGGTGCTACATGCCGAGGTGACAATCTCCAGGAATTACTTGAGTCAGACAAAAGATATGTTGTCTTCAAGTTCAACCCAAGGTGAGCAGTTTTAGATCTAACTTTTATCAATAATTGTTTCTTATTCAGCTAGATTGTCATATACTCTTCCTCATTAAAAAAGATTTATATGTACTATTCTCAGTTCTTACTTTTGTTCCTCGTAACCTTCTGTCCCTCTGCAATATTAAACTGAGAGTCAGCATGGAAATGTGATGGACTTTTCTGCTGAAATAGTAAATAAAGGAACAAATCCTGTTGATTCACACTAGTTACACTGATATTACAACAAGAGTTCTGAAAACCAATCACTAGGACACTGCCAGCACCATAAATTACATCATAAGCATGAATGTAATTTAGTTATACAATACATAACAATAAGATGCAGACTTTCAACATTTCTATATATTCGAGATGCTAGAAGTCTAGAACTCTCCCAGAAAATTTCCTTATCTTTTTCTGAATGTCCCTCTTCTAACTGCCCAAAAAACCACCCAATACATGTGTAGCCATCTCATGTCAGTTACTAAGTATTTTAATTGTTTATTGTGTCCTCCTGGAATAAGTTTTTATAACTTGAGGCTCATCAAATTGATTTTGAGCTCTATAAGCTTTTGGCGTGAGTACTTATCCAATAAGGAAGAAAGAGATGTTTGAGATGAGATTCTTACTTTCTCTTCTTTCTTGGAGATACTATTGTTTCAACTGAATGTAGAACCAGACAACCGGTGTTATCAAAGGCAAAAAGCGCAAAAAAGCAGCGCAAAAAAGCTCTAAGGTCTATGGAGACTTTGAATACACAACGCAGATAAAACGTGGGCTTTAAAGAAGCAGGTGCAAATGGAGGAAAAATACAAACATGTATTTGTTGTCCAAGACTAATAATTATAATAATGATAATAAATATATGGAAAAGGGCCAAAAATACCCTTTGACTATTTGAAAAGGTTAAAATATATTTCTCATTCACCTATTGGGCTAAAAATACCCCTCAGTATACCTTTTTGATCCATTTCTACCCTTAAAACTAACAAACTCTTTTAAATAAATTATTATTATTTATTGTTATTTATTATGTGTCATTTTCTTACTGGATAAATAAATTCCATTTTATTTAATTTTCTCCTATCCATCAGATCTCATGTTACTATCTAGCAACGCTGATATTGTTGTGTCTGATTGTTGATCCCCCAGGGTTGGAAGATGCCTGGGAGGTAGAAAGAGTAACTGACCTGGTAAAAGAAGTGGATACTTTTGGTGAGACAATAATGGAGCCTGATAGACTTAGATGGAGACACAGTTCAGAAGAAAGTTTCACAGTACATAAGTTATAGAAGAGGTAGAATAGCATTATGCAGGAGCAAAAGCTAAAGATATGGAGAAATGTCTGGAAGAACATATCCCTTACAAAAGTGAAATGCTTCACATGGCTAGTGGTAACTAAGAGTAGTTGACCTGCTAAAAGAAATGGATACTTTTGGTGGGACAATAATGGAGCCTGATAGACTTACATGGAGACACAGTTCAAAAGGAAGTTTCACAGTAAATAAGTTATACAAGAGGGAGAAAAACATTGTGCAGGAGGAAGAGCTAAAGATATGGATAAATGTCTGGAAGAACATAGCCCCTACGAAAGTAAAATGCTTCACATGGCTAGTAGTAAGAAAGGAATGCCTTACTTATGAAGTGTTACAAATGAAGGGGAGAGTTGTGGTCATTAGATGCTTTCTGTGCAATGAGATTGGGGAGATAAACAATCACCTTTTCTTACACTGTAACTGCTCAATCGGAACCTATTTTTCAGTCTCACAAAGACACTGTGGACAATGCCTGAACATACAGCTCTGATTTAATGAGTTGTTGGATGAAAAGAGGGGGAAGTAAAAGTCATAAAAAATGGAGGATGATAACCCTCTTGCAACTTGCATATGGTGGTCAGTCTGGTGGGAGAGAAATCGAAGGTGTTCTGAAGACAATCAGATCAGTCCATGATGTGGAATGGAATTGTCTTTTGACTTTTTTTGGGTGTAAACAGAACTGTATAGAGGAAATAGAGGAGTTACTAGAATTTGTAGGAGCTTTATAAAGCTAGAGTCTACTTGTTTTGTAACTTGTTTCTGATGGTGACCAGCATCATCCCCAATGCTGAAGAATACAACACTACTAATCCTAAAAAAACATAACTGGAATGAGAAACTGCAAACTACTACGAAGAAATAACTAATACTTGAAGAGAAACTCTAAATAACTACTACTATACCATTGGGAGACTAAGAAATGATAACACATAATTTTATGGTTGGAGGTGGAGGGCCCTCAGTAGGCTATTCCTTGCTTATCCAAACAGTTTTTGGAATATTGCAGTCTGAACAATGTAGTAACCTTAAGGCCCTCAAGAATGTGGCCTAGTGGTGAATGAAGTGGTTAGAATGATGAGGTCTTAGGTTCAAATCCCAGCGGAAATAAAAACACTAGGTGATTTCTTCCCATCTGTCATAGTCTTGGTGGACAGATTCACCTGGTACCAGTTGCTGGTGGAGTGACAAGTATCCCATGAATTTAGTTGTGCGCATGTTGGCCCAGATACCACGGTTATCAAAAATAATAAAAAAGAATGTATGATATGAATTCAGATGGATGGAACAATTTAATATATCTGAAAACTGGCTAGAAATGTCTTGACTAATGAAAAATTATCTACTCCACAGTTCATACACGTACTTTGACAGCAATGGGGGGACTCATGAACTAGATCTAGAGGAAGTCCATGCAACAAAACCTGATCCTTTATGTAAGAGATTAAGAACTGAACTGTTTATGTTTTGCATATCTGATTATTTTGAGGACCAATGTGTTCTCATTATTGATGAGCAGTATTCTCTAAGTGTATTGTATTTTGTAGCATCACATACCATGAGCTTGATTGATGGAATTAATCAAAGTGAGGTGAGGCGTAGGGCTCTGATTCTCTTCTGCATCACACACTTGAATAAGAACGCAAAGGTGATTTCTGGTTGTCTCTGAAAGCTCGGGTAAAACGTATTTGTCTTCTCTGAGTTCTCATGCTAAATATTTGTAAGTGATTTACTTATACTTTCATTTGGAAGTTCCAAGATAAATTAAGCCAGTGCACTAGATTTAGGGACATTGTGACTGTATATAACCTGCTAAATTCTTACACATGTTTACTGCCATTATTTTCATTTTTCAAGGTGGGATGCTTAAATTCTGTGTAACTTATAATTGTCACAGCATATCATTGCTGTGATCGAGGTAGTTACTATATCATGACACACATAAGCCATAAACCCACACCAAACATCAACAAATATTGCCCTCGGCCTATCAATGTGCATTATTATTCAGTCAATATATAAACTATTAGCTGCTAATATGCAGAAGAGAGCTGATCCCTGGTTTTATGTGAAGGATGCGTATCTGCTTTCTATAGATCGGAAAGGATTGGATGTGGTGGGAAAAGTTTTAGGTCCAATAAGGAGTGATGGTTCTCGTGAATATCAGTGGAGGGAGTTGAGAATTGCATTCAGAGAAGAGGCACACACTGTTGAAACATTCTGCCGTCAGCTTGTTGAAATGGAGGAGGAATCACTCGAGAGTATCTCCAACTTTAGTGGTATATAAATAGGGTGGAATTAGCATCGCACCGACAGATTTGAAGAGCAAGCAACCTGTGATGGACAGGAATAATTGCATCATGGGTCATTTTTGACAGAAGGGGAGCTGTGATAGAGGGTAGATTAGTGATCTTGTGATTTGAGGTGTGTTCATTATCTGTTCTTGTAATCTAGATCATAAAAGGTTAATAACCTTAGCTGAGCTGTGACACTGTAAGTTGAGGAATGTTATTCATTGTGATTTTAATTGTTAAAAAGCTTATGGTTGGTCGAGCTGCATACACTCACCTATTATAAGGACAAGGCGTTTCATCAAATTTAATATAGTCATTATTTGGTAGGTGACAGTAGGAAGCCCCTACTAGACACACATGACTCGTTTTCAAGGCTGGATAGCTACTTGCTAGTCAGGGCTGGCAGAAGAAAGTTTTGAATCCCTGCAGGCAGGTTAGTGTTCTTAATTCGCTCATCAATTGCTTGGCTAACATAAGATAGGTATGTACAGGTAGAGTACTTGATCCAGTTCATATTTCCTACTAAATAAGGGAGGTCAATGATCGATCATGATTCACACATCAATATCTTTTTAGTCGAGTTAGTCATACCAGGTTTATCTAATATAGTTACATCTTTTATGTGAATCCTTTTGAGGAGACTAATAAATCAACAATAGGAAATGAACGATTTTAGTTTTTAGAAAAGGCTACAAATCTTTTTACGAAAAAAATAAATGGTTTCACTTGATTCATAGATGATATCTAAACGTAATTATTAATATTATCACTCATGGTACCTCAAAATGATCCCTGTAGAAATAACTAAAAAACCAAATTTTCAAATAATAAAGAAAAGCATACCTCATGTATCGAATAAATTTCTCCATCAACTTGTATCGAATAGTCAGTTACACATTTTAACTATAATGACGATCTATTACATACCTATTCTTGTTCAAAGTGTAAATAATATCATTCTAAAACTGATGTGGAAATAAAATTAAGATTAAAAATAAATTAGGAACGTTTGATTTGAAATAAAGTCAGAAAAAGTGTTTTTTTTAAACCCCCACCCCCTGTTTTCTTCTTTCTCATGTTAAATTTTTTTCTTAGCACATTTTTACAAATTGTCACTCAATCTCATTTTGTTCTTATCATATTTTTACAATTTTCACTCAATTTCATCATTCTACTTGAAAAAAGTAAATTTTTAATTTACATATCACAATGATTATAGGAATTTGAGACTTCGTTATCCTAATCTTTCCACTTTCTCCTTCAAATTTTTGTACAAAGCACAATGCTTACTGAAACACCATGGATCATAAATGGACCGAAAAACAAAACTATCTTCCCTAAAAACGCCATGGATCTGAAAAAAACATCTGCTGTACTCAAGCTGGAGGAGGAAGTTCGTTGAAACGAAGCTCATAGATCTTAAAGCTTGAAACACCGTAGATCTGAAAGACGAAGCTCATTGAAACGTCATTAGATCCATGGTTGAAGCTTTGAGCTTATTGAAACAGCTGCAATAAAAATTAAAAGCAAAAAAATCGAGAAGGGATGGTAAAGGGGATTTATTTGGTGTTTGTCAATGACCGATTTAGTGTTTTGGATGGTGTGGTGGCTGAGGTAATTGTTTGGTGGTTGTTTTATGTCAGAGATGGGTCGGATGTTGGGGAAATAAGGAGATTACGTTATGGAGGTAGGTTTGTGGTTGTGGGTTGGTTGTTCTTGGCCGGAGAAGATAAAGAGAATTGTGATATAAATTCAAATGAATATTTTTTTCTAGTTGAGATAGTAGATAAGATTTAGATTGGAAGAAGATATGATTATTAGAGAATTTTAAAAATTAGTTTGGTATTAATTAGTGTTAAATAGAGCTAATAAAAGAAAAATTAAATAATAAAGAAAAGAAAATAGAAATTTTTTCAAAAATTATAATTTCTAACGTGTTGCTTACGTGATGCTGATGTGGCAACGATCGTAACACACCACATACTGTGGGAGTGGTGTTATGCATTAATAGTGTATTTTAAAGGTATATATGTGCCCACGTTGACACAAAACCATTTATAATTACGCAATTTTTAATCTCCACGTGGGCACATTTATACCTTTAAAATACACTATTCAATAGTGTAGGGGGTAAAAGGTCCTTCCTAAAGTTTGGTATCGTAACAACAATTTCGATCAAAATTTGAATATATTTCAAACCCTTTTTCCTATACCATACCAAATATTATAAGTGAAACGACACTAAAGTAAAAAATTGAATCAATTTTTAACCGCAGTAAAATGAGAAAAAACATTAAGGAAGATGAATATGAAAATATCAGTCTCAAGGCCCTTGATTTCTACAAATTGAAATTTTAGAACTCTTATCTTTTCATTCTCTCATATTGAATGGAGGAAAAAGTTGGACTTGCAAACTATAAATTAAGCATTGGACTATATCGTATAAATCATATGAAATGATAAATATTTAATTACTGATTCCAAAATCTTTTTTTATTAGATTCCATCTTCATCCGCGTATTGCCATATTTAATTGTGTTTATATGTTATTTTTTCCTTCTCTCAATTTTGGTGGCATCATATAAATGATAAATATAGGACAAAATATAGCATATATGTATAACTATATGTGACAAGTTCAATAATTAATTATATTTATTTGATAGAAATTTCTTATTTCTTTAAAACTATTTTTTTAAGTTACACAATATTAATTTCTAAACTTGTAAAATTTGTTGATTGTGTGCAAAGTACGATATGAATATATTATTGTTTAAAATAAACGTGCAACACACGTTCTCAAAAACTAATTCTTTTCAAATTCAAGTTGTGAATAACATTGATCCTACTAAATGCCTCTTTAACAGTATTAAAATTCATTGTGCTTCTAAAGATAATGATATGACATTTCATTACCTTAGTCCAAATAACAAATTTGAATGGTCATTCAAAGTGATATTTGCTAATACAATTTTTTTTTGGTTCATTTTGGTGGGGGTTTAAAAGAAAGAGCTTTTGAAGTGTTCAGTGTCTTCCATGGATGTATTAGAGATTCACCGCTTATTCCGCGGACTCTTTTATGCAAATGGACATTGACAAATAAATAATTTTTTTGCGAATATACTTATTCAGTGAATTCTTTTATGTAAATAAATATTGACGAATAAATGATTTTTTTCGCGAAGATGATAGTGGGAAGAAATATAACCCTTACACTTGGGAGCCACTTCATTAATTAAAGTGGTTAGTTATTTGTTTTGATCACCAACTTGTATGGGACTATGAAGGGTGTATCTTTCTTCATTTTATGTTTTGAATATTCTTGTATATTGTGTACATTATTGAGGGAATAAATGCATTATTTTACGTAATGCGCATGGGAAGATCCTGATCTATACCATATATATATATATATATATATATATGAAAAATTACTAAATATCTATAAATATTTGATAATTATTTTTCTCTCCATTTCAAAGTGAATCGTCTAGTTTGACTTGACACGAAATTTAAGAAAATAAAAAAGACTTTTTTAATTTTGTATCTCTAAATTAAAGTTATGTCAAATGTACAAAATTGTTCTTTAGTCTTGTGGTCTTAAACATGCCACGTGAAAAGCTGAAATTAAAATGTTACAAAAAAAAGAGGTCATTTATTTTAAACTGACTAAAATGGAAAGAAGATCATTCTTTTTTAAACGAAGGGAGTACAAAACATTCAAAATCAATTCTCTGTTTGTGCCAGAAGTTTTACCTTTGGTACTACTTTTATTTTAAGCGATCCAGGAACTTCCATAATATTGGCGTGATTTGACTTAAAACTATAATAAGAAATCCCTCCTTAATGTTACAACCTTACTGAATACAGATAGAAGTTGCACCTTTAAAAACTGATCAATTACGAGATTTCAGTTCCAACCAAATTGAAATTGGCTATATGAATTCTTACTTTCTCTATTAAAATTTGTTTCATATCAAAAGGAAGGAAGCAAGGGTTAACCATCCTAGTACTACACTCACACCCAAGCACATTTAACTATAAAGTTTTGATGAGATTCGACACATTAATGTTGATATGATCATGATGAAAATCCAGGTCAAATTAACCGATTCACACACGCCAGCTTCGAATTTCTAGGTGTTTTTGAAACTAATAAGTCACATTTACACTCTCCTAGAAACTATCAATATCAAGCAATTAGCTACACGTCAATTTCAAATTAATCGGGTCTAGCTATATGAATCCTTCATCTTCAACAACAATAATATATTCAGTATAATCCCACAAAATAAGGTCTGCAGAGCCAGATTATATGTGTACTTTTACCCTACTCTGTTTTCAATAAACTCTTGATTCAAGAGAAAAAATAACTCCAAAACAAAAATGTACAGAAATAACAGATAGTGAAAGGAAAACATAAGAAATACATAAAAATAAATCAAATGAAGAAAAAAGATGGATTAGGTTCAATAATTAAGCTAATCCTTATTTAAACACTAGATGTTATGCCTATGCAAGCGCGGGTCCAAAAAATCAAGAATTAATTTCAGAATTATTATATTTTGTATTTGTTTAGTAAATCGTAGGATATAAGGATATCAGAATTATTTATGATGCTTATATAAATTTATATTTTATTTATACAATTAAGATAAAATAAATTATTTCATACCTATTATAAAATAATTAATCTCATAAAATAACTATTCAAGTCTTATACCAAACGATCTCTAATAGTACAATTCATTTTGTGTGAAGATAAAGCAAATATTATCTAAGAAATTCAATTTGGAGCAACTTTAAATTGAAGAATATTAGTATAAGCAAATACATAAAAGTCTACTTGCTTTGAACTTTGAAGCATGTAAGTAATTTGAATATTTATACCAATCCATTGTGTTGGGTGAGTTGATTCCTTAATCCATTATAAACTTTATATAATTTTTTTAAACGACAAATCCCAAGAACAATAGCGTAGATAAACTCTTTATATACCATTTTTTTTGCCATTTAGGCCATTTACAAAAATGCATTTCTCCATATTTGTAAACTTCACAACTGATTTCAACTTTCCAAGTATTTAAAATCACAAGATTAGATAAGATTTCAATACATTAACTTTCCACATATTTAAAATCACAAATCCCAGATTAGATAACATCTCAATACATTAACTTTACATGTCACATTTTTAAACTCAACAAGATTAATTTAAAAAATTGGATATCCTACCTAATACCTATTTTTAATTTTGATACCACAAAATTTTTTAAAATTTTTTACACTTTTATTTTTTACACTTCTACATTTCATGTCCGAGAAAAATCTATATTTAAGTAGATTTGTAAATGATTTTAGAAAAGTATCGTTTACTCTAGAAATCAATTGAATTGACCTTTAAAACAAGATCTGATTAGCAAATATGCTCAAAGAGAATGTACTGTGTATGCGATAAAATTCAAGCAGATGGAGTAATTTAATATGGACAAATGGAATCTATATAATACACTTTCATTTTTAGTTACAAAATTAAATGAGACATTTTATATTCATTTTACCTTTCATGAGATACTTTTATACAGAAAAATATCTATATTTATTTTAGATCGTAAATTTTTTTAGCTTATTTTTTCTTTCAGAAACTCCATGCTCAGTAAACTGTGTCCTATATAAAACTAATTACTTCAGTATTAATATTTTGTAAGCATGCCTAATTACTTCACTGTTAATATTTTTGTAAATATGCCTATGAATGAGGGATTGTAAGGTATTAAAACGTGGAAGAGCATCAGAAAATTCTAAGTCAAACCATTAAATAGAGAACTGAAAAATAAAAAATAAAAAGAGAGAAAAATAGTCAGCAACCTGAAAGCCAATGATTTCATTCTAACTTTGTTGAAATGAATAAAGCATTTGAGTATGAAATTTTGATCAATCAAATATATCCCCTAAGAAAATTCTTCTTTGACAACAAAATAAACAAATTACAATAAAAATAAAAAAATAGAAGAAAATCTCCAGTAAGAATTTTATATATGTCATGATATGTTTGTGTTGTCGTTGCCTTTGGGAATAGATATAAATGTGTTGGCATTAGGTATAAAAGCCACCTAATAATAATAGCTGAAAAATTCTGACACGTCAAATATAAAAGGTTAAGTCAGGCAGTGTGTATTTTAAACACAAGATGAAAATGACTGAATCACCCTAAAAAGGAATTTAAATGGTTTATAGCTGACATGTTGATATTCACATCTAGGGATGTCAAAAATGAGCCCAAACACACGTAACCTGCTCATAATTTTAAAGGTTGTGCTCAAGATAATTTGAATTGAGTTCAATCTCAATCCATTCAAGCACAACCCATTTGAAGAGAATTCTCAATTTAGCCCAATTCAATCTCCAATTTCAACCTGTTTTAAAACTTTTTATTAATATGTGTTTCTATATATAAGGTATAAATTATTATCTATTTAACATCTTTTAGGGTTTATCTATCTATATGTTACTTTTTTTAAAAAAATCTTGAGCTAAAATTCAGATTGTGATTATAAAAGTTAAATATCAATATGTTAAATTATTAAGATTAATCGGATCAAACTGGATGGGTCAAGACCCAACTTACGTTTTATTCAACTAATTTTAATATTCTCAATTTCACCCGAACTTGCCCATTTGACACCCCTACTCACATCCTACACTCAATCTTATACAATAGTAGAAAAAGAAAATGTAACCAACTCACTCTTAACACATTTTATAACAAAAATTAATCATGTATAGAACTTTTTATTTACGTAATGAATAATGACACAAAATTTTGTGAGGATTTGTTGGAATAACTCCAACAATTGCACCAAAAGTTGGAAAAAACACCAACAATTGCACCATAACTCCATGTCATAACAACTCCATTATGCCCTACTTATCATTATATTTGTATATATAGTTTCACGCTTAACCATAATTTCATAATCAATCAAACAAATCATAATGAAGAAAAAAAAACATTGTTTTTCCCTATAACCAAAATCTCAAAATGTTATCACAATATTCCGTTTTCTTTGCAATTTTCGTAGTAGCAATAATCAAATCGTTACCCCTTGTTGCAATTGACACTCAAGTTCCCGAAGGATCGATACTCCAGTTATACATGCATGATATTCTGGGAGGAAATAATCCAACAGCTCGGTCAATAATTGGATTATTAGGCAATATTTATAGTGGACAAGTTCCTTTTGCAAGACCTTTAGGTTTTCAGCCACCTAAAGATGGTGTATCAACTCCTAATTCTAATGGTGAAATTCCAATATTTAATATCAATTGTGTTCCAGTAGGAACTGGCTTAGCAGGCACAATATTTGCTGGGAATCAGAATGGCCAAGATAGCGGTATGACTACTCAATTAGGCCCTGATGGATTGAGCCTCGGGTTTGGTACGTAAAAGCTTAAAGGTATTATACTTTTGATTACCTTATAACTTATATTATGTCTTTGACATGTCTTCTCACATGTTATCCTGATTCTTTTTTTTGTTGGTTAGTTTTTACTTTTTCGATGATAATGAAATTTGAAGAGTCCGAAACTTGAAGGGTACAAAATATTAACAAAAATTTTAAAACGGTATATAAAATTTTATATTAACCAAAACGGTAAAATCGCTGCTGAGGCAGCGATTTTGCAAATTTTTTTTTATAAAAAAATGAAATCCCAGCAGCGATTTCAAAATTTTGCTTCTTACAAATCGCTGCCTTGGCAGCGATTTCATATTATTATTTTTTTAAAAAATAAGGTATATCGCTGCCAGTGCAGCGATTTATAAAGAATTTTTTTTTAAAATCGTTGCCAGTGCAGCGATTTATAAAAAAATTTATAATATAAATCGCTGCCAGTGCAATGATTT